TCTGCCCCGGGTGGGTTCTGTCCCGGAATCGACGGCTGCCGGGGCGGGAAGGCAGGGCGTGGCCAGGGCCAGAGGCAGTGAGTTTCCCGGAGAAATGCCATCTTGTCCGTCTTCCTTGCAGCCTACACTCACCGGGAGCCAGACGAGGGCGGAGGAGTGGGGCTGAGGTTTCCGGGAGAGGAGGGTGCGGTGGTGGGCTGGGCTGGGCTGTCAGGCCACATCCCACTCTCTGCTCCCTGTCCCAGCCTCACGTCCTCAATTTGACTGGAGGGACCCGTTGCTGCTGGAGGAGCAGCTGACAGCGGATGAGATCCTTATCAGGGACACCTTCCGCACCTACTGCCAGGAGCGCCTCATGCCCCGAATCCTGCTGGCCAATCGCAACGAAGGTGCCCAGGCAGGGGGAAGGGGTACCCTCTCCCGTGCACACCTGCTCTGCCTGCTTTAGCTGGGCCCTTGGACTCCCGTGTCGCTGGCATGGGGGCTCCAGTGGCCTAGGGCTGAGTCTGAATTTGGGCATCCGTCTCTTTGCAGTGTTTCACCGGGAGATCATCTCAGAGATGGGGGAGCTTGGTGTGCTGGGCCCCACCATCAAAGGTAGGGACAGATTTATCTCCACACTCTGCAGTCCCCACTGTGTCCCGGAGAGCCCCTTCCTGTCCCTGACCCTGAGTTTCCCAGTCTGCAAAGCGAGGCTGTTATCCCTCCACGTGAAAGTGGCTGTGAGGGAAAATGAATAAACCCTCAAGCTAGCGCCAGCTTGGAGCCCCCTCCTTGGGCGCCCCTATGTAGCTCTGTCTCTTGGGCCCTGGGAATCCCACTGGGCTTTGTCTCCCATTGCCCTGTCTTCCCTCCCCTCCCCTCCCCTCAGGGTATGGCTGTGCTGGAGTCTCCTCTGTGGCCTATGGGCTCCTGGCCCGAGAGCTGGAGCGGGTGGATAGCGGCTATAGGTCAGCGATGAGTGTCCAGTCTTCCCTCGTCATGCACCCCATCTACGCCTATGGCAGCAAGGAGCAGCAGCAGAAGTACCTGCCCCGGCTAGGTGAGCAGCTGCCCGTGGAACCTACTGGAAGCCAGACCATCTCAGTGGTCTGGAACTTAGGAACAGGACTGTCCCCAGAGCCTGCCTTCTGCCCCTACCTCAAGGACAGCCCCGGAGGCCACCCAGATGCCCTTCAGACCCCGAGCCTTACCGCTACCTCTGATCCACTTTCTTACCACCATCATCTCCCTCCTAATTGGCTCCCCCATCCCAGCCCAGAGTTTAAAGTCTTACCTTCCTGACCGGGTCCACAAGGCCACACACGTGAGCAGGCCTCTGCTGATCATTCCAACTCACCTTTGGCCACCCTCCTGAGTGCTCCTCCTCAGCCCGACTCGGCTTCTTGGGATTCTCCAAATGGACTGCGGGGCCTTTGCACATCTGTACCCCCTGCTGGGACCACTCTTCCCCACCCTTCCTCCTCCCCCCTAACTCCTTTTCACTGAATCTAAGACAGATTATCTGACTCCTTTCTGACTCCTGTGCGGGTCTTTCCCCATCATGGTGTATTACGGTGGCCTGGGTGGGGGGCTGTCCCCACACTCCCTGGGAGTGCCACAGGAGCAGGTGTGGGTCTGCCTTTGGCCTGGCTTGAGCGAGAGACTGAGGGCATGAGTGGGGGACAGGCAGATCTGTGACCCTGTGTTGTGTCTGCAGCCAAGGGGGAGCTCCTGGGCTGCTTTGGGCTCACAGAGCCCAACCACGGGAGTGACCCGGGCAGCATGGAGACCAGAGCCCGTTACAACGCATCTGGCAAGAGCTACACCCTCAATGGGACCAAGACCTGGTGAGGGGCCCGGATGTCGCAGGCAGGCGGGCAGGGGCAGGGGGGGAGGCGGCCAGACCCTCACTGCCTCTCCCTCCCCCAGGATCACCAATTCCCCCGTGGCCGACCTGTTTGTAGTGTGGGCTCGATGCGAAGATAGCTGCATCCGGGGCTTCCTGCTGGAGAAGGGGATGCGGGGCCTCTCGGCCCCCAAGATCGAGGGCAAGTTCTCCCTGCGCGCGTCGTCCACGGGCATGATCGTCATGGACGGTGTGGAGGTGCCGGAGGAGAACGTGCTGCCTGACGTGTCTGGTCTGGCGGTGAGCGGCGGCCACCTTGGGAACTGGTATCACGTCTCCTGCTGGTTCCTCTTTCTTGGGCAGTCCCCGTGCTGGGGACCCAGCTGGGGAACAGACGCCGTCCCTGTGCTCGTGCCCCCCCCCCCCCCCCGGCCCACGGGATTCTGAGAGGTTCTGCTCGGCTCACTGCTGTGTGCAGATGGCCCCTTTCGGTGCCCATCTTGCTCATCCTGGCTCCGCCCTGGACACCTTTTGGTCCGGAAGCAGTTGAATCCTTTGATGCAACTGCATCTCTCTGTCTCCTTATATCGTCCCCTAGACCGGAGGCTCCAGCCCAGGTCCTGGGCCAGGTAAAAGTGTGTGCAAAGCAAGGGTGAGCAGGCACTGAGCGAGGCCTGCTGTGCACGAACTCCAGGACCGTGTGTGATTCAGATGGCTGCCCTGAGTCCCTCTATTTATACTGACTGCGTGTCTGGAGAGGGGGCTTCCCCCTACTTAAGAGTTAGTCCCGCGCAGGGCCTTTCAGCTCCTGGTGGGCCTGAGGCCCCTCTCTCAACCCTACAGGGGCCCTTCGGCTGCCTAAACAACGCCCGGTTTGGGATCACCTGGGGCGTGCTGGGAGCTGCCGAATTCTGTTTGCACACGGCCCGGCAGTACACGCTGGATAGGTTCGTGGGGGTGCCGCGAGGGGCTCTTGGGGATGGGAGGGGGGCATGGGCTCCATCCCTTACCCAACTGGTGACTCCCCATTCCCTGTCCACCAGACTTCAGTTTCTCACTCAGTGTAACAGCCTGGGAAGTCCTTTCGAGGGGCTGACTCGATGACAGGGCCAGGGTGAACTCAGCGAGGGCTGGGGAGGCCTGGGAAGGCTTCCTGGACTGGGGAGCGACCTTGCCCATACTTACCCTGAACTTGCCCGTCTAGGATCCAGTTTGGAGCCCCCCTGGCCAGGAACCAGCTGATTCAGAAGAAGCTGGCAGACATGCTCACTGAGATCACGCTGGGCCTTCACGCCTGCCTGCAGCTTGGCCGCTTAAAGGATCAAGACAAGTAGGGCCCGTGTATCTGGGAAGCAGGTGGAGGCAGCAAGGAGGGGACCCTGTGCCCCTCCTGGACACAGGGGTGGTTGGCCCTGGGGAGAAGTGTCCTTCCTGCCTGGCGACCCCTGGGGACCCATCTCTTACCCTCTTGGCCCGTCTCTCTTACCCTCTTGGCCTTGATGGGACGAGACTGCCTGCTTATCCCTAACTGGGAGCTCCGTGTCCACTGCTGTGACCATGACCGAGGGAATCTTCTCCCCTGGCTGGGTCTGCCCAGGGCTTAGGGATGCGTGGGGTCAGTTCTTTGTGATCCCTGACGTGTCCCATGTCTGTGCCACTCCCAGGGCCACTCCGGAAATGATCTCCCTGCTGAAGAGGAATAACTGTGGGAAGGCCCTGGATATCGCCCGCCAGGCGCGAGACATGCTAGGGGGGAACGGGATTTCTGACGAGTATCACGTGATCCGGCACGTCATGAACCTGGAGGCTGTGAACACCTATGAAGGTAGGGGCCGGGTCTCTGCAGGGGAGGAGCGTTACAGCGACCTTGCTGTCTAGAGAAGGGGGGTGGGGATGGCAGCCCCGAGCCCGGCTCCCAGTTGTCATCGCTAGTGCCACGACCTGGGGCATGTCCCCCCCTGTATTGTTCATCAGGAGCAGCTCCCCCTGGGACTGTGGAGGTGAAATGCTGTCAGCCCTTTCCCCCGTGGTGCTCGGGAGGAGGGGTGCTCCCCAGACTGCTTTCCATCCTCCTTGGGCATCCCCAGCGTGGGGCACGAGGCCTAGAGTGAGCTGGTGGGGGCCCGGGAGCGAGAGAGCAGCTGCACTCGGCACCCGGAACTGGCTGGGACTCACACTGGGCCCAGAGCCCCTTGGGAAGACAGACATGGGGAAAAATCATTAAAAATTAAAAAACAAAAACAAAAAACAGTACACTCTCGTATGAGCCAGGCAGAAATAGGGGGAGGTGTAAGAGGCGGTGCTCCTCTTGGGAAGAAAGTGGAAGTGTGTTAGGCCTTAAGGGAGTGTCCCTCCCTGGGCAGGGACAGTGAAATAGCTTTTTCTTATTTTTTCTTTTCTTTTTTTTTTTTTGAAAGAGCTTCTGTGTGCTCTTCTGGATGGGATATTCCAGAAAAAGCAAGAGGGAAGGTTGAAGGTTGAGGCGTGGGGATGACCTTGAGGACAGCAGAGGAGGGCCTTCAGGGGGTTTTATGCAGGGGGGGATGGGGTCAGATACCCACTTTAGGGAATAAACAGTTATTTTGCTCCATCAGAAGGAGGCAGTAATCTCTGCCTCCCACCCCTTTAAGCTGAGGAAGGGTAAATGAGAGCGCTGGGGGCTATTAAACGTTACCCAGAGTTGAGAGCAGGTGTGGGACATGCGGGTAGTGGCTTTAGGCCCGGGGACATCAGCTGGGACAAGCAATCTGATAACTTTTTTTTTTTTTTGGTGTTATTTTTGAGACAGAGTGTGAGTTGGGGTGGGGCAGAGAGAGAGGGAGACAGAATCTGAAGCAGGTTCCAGGCTCTGAGCTATAAGCCCGATGCGGGGCTCGAACTCATGAACCATGAGATCATGACCTGAGCTGAAGTCGGACGCTTAACTGACTGAGCCCCCAGGGTGCCCCCTGATATTTGTGTTCCCATCCCTTCCGTAGGCCAGAGAGGGCCTGCAAGCAATCGCGGCCTCTGGGAAAGGAGCACGAATGGGTTGAACATCAAACATTTAAGCACCTGTGCAGGGGTGGGTGGGGTGGATTTGCTGAGTGTAGGGAGCGCCAAAGCTGGGCCCGCAGCCAGAGCCGGGCTTGCTGAAGTTTTGGGTTCTAGAACGAGGACTTCTGGGTTTTCTTTTTATTTCATTTTATTTTTTGCCAAGATGCATTACAGAACTGTGAAAACCAATTTTCTCGGCGTGGCCTGAATGGTGGCCTCTGAGCCTAGGACGGGGCTTTGCCAGCAGCTGTCAGCATTCGCCATCTTTGTGGGTTTGTTCTTCTTCCGCAGTGGTAGCCTGGGGGGCAGAGACATGAAGACTGACTTTAAAGGAAGTTGTGAGCTGTTAAGACTCCACACCAACTCGTATTTATCTTGTCCAGGCACTCACGACATTCACGCTCTGATCCTTGGAAGGGCAATCACGGGGATCCAGGCGTTCACGGCCAGCAAGTGAGCACACTTCACCCGGGAGCCCAGATGGTCCCCAGCTCCTTCCCAGGGAAATGCTACGCTCTGAGCTCACTCACGGAGGTGGCAGATGGAGCCAATTTTTATAGTGAGAAGTGAGAGACACTGATTCTTAATTATCAAAAATTTCCCTTCGAAGTCATTCAAATGTGTTCCTTAAAAAAGAAGATGGGACTCTCTGTACCAAGTTTCTCAACCCACTTTTAACTGTGGATGGGAATGGATTCCACTTCTCTTGGAACAGAAGCGTCACTTGACGGGAGCAGGGAGAGGGAAGGAGAGTGACATGAAGCAATCTCTGTGAGACTGATCTGGTGTCTGACTGAGCAGATCCCCCCACGGCAAGAGTTCACTGTGTGCCCTCCGACCCTCCTATCTTGGGGGTAAGTGCCTTATGCTGGAGGTTGGGGCAGAAGGAAAGTGAAAGACTAATAAAGAGTCTGCATGTCTGACCCCGCAGTGTTGGGCCACGTTTAACTGTAACCACCCAAGAAGTCATTTCAGTCACAGGAAAACTGTGGGACCGTGTGGTGGGGATCCCCCCCCCCCCAGGTGGTCTGGCCTGTGTCTGAGTCTTGGGCTCTGCTGTAATAACCCTGGTTACGCGCTGACCAGGGCTCAGGGCTGTAGACAGAGAGGCTTTTGTCCTTTCTGTCACCACACAGCTGACCACAGAGTGGGGGGAAGTAACAGCGGTCCAGCTTCTCAGCTCAGACACACCACCTCAGAGGGGCGCCCAGGGCCACCAGGGACGTGGCAAGAGCATCTGAAGGATTTTGCAGGGACAGTGGCCCGTGTGGGGTTCAAGGCCGGGCACGGTGCCAGCGGCCTCGGTTTGTGTTGACGTTTGCTCTCATCCCAGCCTCCACAAGCCTGCTTCCTTGGCGGGGCCCCGGGCAGGAGTCGAGTCACACCTCAGGCTGGATGCACAGGTCCTTGTACACCGTCTCCACGGTGTGGCACACGTGCTTGAGCTCTGTCTCCAAATGGATGATCTTCGCCATCTTCTGGGTGAACTCTTGGAGCTTTTCCTGAATGATCTTGTTGTGGTGGTTGTAAATCTGATACATCCTCTCTTCTAGCTTCTCTGTCAGGTCTGAAACCTTTTAAAGAATAAGGCATGCTCTTAGAAAAGTCAAACAAAGGACATCACGTTTGTTTTAAATGGCTCGCTAAGATTTCTGCAATTTATCTTATAAAAATGGTAAAAAAAAAAAATTCCAGTGACTGGAGGTGAAATTGCTTATATTTTGAAATTTTTTAAATGTTTATTTTGAGAGAGAGAGAAAGCACAAGCAGGGGAGAGGCAGCGAGAGAGAGAGAGAGAGAGAGAGAGAGAGAGAGAGAATCCCAAGCAGGCTCCGTGCTGTTGAGCTGATGCAGGGCTCGATCGCACGAACAGTGAGATCATGAGCTGAAATCAAGAGTCAGATGCTCAACTGATGGAGTCACCCACATATATGTATGTGTATATATATACTGAACAGGCTCAACCAGGTTAGGAAGGAAATACATAACAGAGACTGGAAGAAAACATGACAAAGTAGCCTCTGAGTAATGGGATCATAGAAATTTTTTTAATGTTTATATTTATTTTTGAGAGAGAGAGAGAACACGCATGCAGGAGGGGTGGAGAGGGAGTGAGACAGGATCCGCTCTGTGCTGTCAGAGGCTCGAACCCACGAACAATGAGATCATGACCCCAGCCAAAGTCAGACACTTATAACCAAGCGGGCCACTCAGGTGCCCCAGAATTTTAAGTAATGTCTACACCCCATGTGGGGCTTGAACTTATAACCCCAAGATCAAGAGTTGCAGGCTATACTGACTGAGCCAGTCAGGGCCCCCACACACCATTCAACTTCTGGGGGACAAACGGGGTGACAATGAAGGCTCTGCCTCAGCCCCTAGTCCCATGGCCATTAGCACTGGCATGAAATAAGAGGGCTGGGCCGTGGGCGCAGATGGACCTTCGTCGTCATCCTGGTTCTTTCACGTGGCACTCTCTGCAGGTTGCCTAGCATCGTACCGCGGATTTAACACTCAGCAGCAGCTCCTTCCCTCCCCTTTCATAGGATGCCCTCCCCCTGCAGACCGGGGCTATGCAGTGTGGGGGAGAAACTGTCACCTTGATCTTGAGGCTGTCCCTGAAGTTGGTCATGAGTGCATGGTCCTTCTGCCTGCTCTCGTTGATGTTTTCAATCAGCTCCTGGGCCCTCTTCTTCAGGATGTCGATGCTCGAGTCCAGAGAGGAAAAGTAGGGTCCTGCCTTCCCTTCTAGTATCATCAGCTGGCGGTTGGCACTGGAGGTGGCGACAGAGGGGCTAGAGACCTGACTTCTGAAAGGACAGGAAACTGAGGTCAACACCAAACTCTCCCGAGAGCTCTGGTCTGAATTAGCTGTGTGGGGGGAGAGGAACCAGGGCTGTGTGTCTCTGGCGGGCGATGCTGGTTGATTTCAGTCACACCCCGCCCTCAGGGGCAGGGGCAGTATCCCCGTTTTAGAACTGAAGAAACAGACCCACAGGTGCAAACAGAATCCACCTAAGGTTCCAGAACGGGGGGATTTGCCTGATTCCAACACCCACAGTCATTCTATTACACCAACTTGCTGCTTTGAAATGAGCATCGGTTATACTATTTATAGTATATAAACAACTATAGATCGGGGCAGAGACTGTAAAAATCTAGAAAGATTCTGCACATATTGGGTGCCTGGGGGGCTCAGTCAGTTGAGCGTCTGACTCTTGATTTCGGCTTAGGTCATGAGCTCATGGTTCGTGAGATCAAGCCCCATGTTGGGCTCTGAGCTGACACTGTGCAGCCTGCTTAAGATTCTCCCTCCTCTCTCCCTGCCCCTCTCCTGCTCTTGTGTGTGCTCTCTCTCAAAATAAACATTAAAAAAATTAAAAAGGATTCTGCATATAGATTGCTTTGTCAAAACCTGTAAGGGTTTTTAATTTTTTTTAAGGTTTATTTCTTTTTGAGAGACAGAGTACGGGCAGGGAAGGGGCAGAGAGAGAGGGAGACACAGAATCCGAAGCAGGGTCCAGGCTCCGAGCTGTCAGCACAGAGCCCGACGTGGGGCTCAAACTCATGGGTGGTGAGATCTTGACCCGAGCTGAAGTTGGATGCTTAACTGACTGAGCCACCCAGGTGCCCTGAATCTCTCTATTCTTTAAACAGGATTGGGGGGCTTGCATCATTGTTTCTGGGCTCCATTTCTTTTTGTCCTTTATCTCTGCTTTATGTGATCTGTAGGCACCTTCCATGTGTCAGGCAGTGTGCTAAGCTGAACGCCTGTTGCTGCGACTTCTTGGCCATGCTCTGGGCTTGGTCCACTCGTCGTCTTTGCCTACGTCACAGCTGAGGACCCAGGCTCAGTGTGGTTGTCCCTTTCTCAAGGTTACTGGCCAGTGTGCGGCAGAGCTGGGTGTGGGACCCAGCTGGCCCGACTCCCAGCCCGTGTCCTGCTGCCCCTCGGGTCCTCAGTTTCTTCGCCTCTGAGGTCCTCCCAGGTCTTAATGGCTGAGACTCAGAGGGGCCAAGAGAGCAGTTCCTAAACACACCAGTTGACAGGCCACCATAAAGTCAGCCAAGACCACAAGCCAGGCATTCCTTAGAAAATTCCTTAGAATGGGGCACCTGGGTGGCTCAGTCGGTTGGGCATCCGACTTCGGCTCAGGTCATGATCTCACGGTTCGTGGGTTCAAGCCCCACATCGGGCTCTGTGCTGACAGCTAGCTCAAGCCTGGAGCCTGTTTCAGATTCTGTGCCTCCCTCTCTCTCTGATCCTCCCCTGCTCATGCTGTCTCTATCTCTCTCTCAAAAATAAATAAATAAAATATTTTAGAAAATTCCTTAGAAAATTACGTCCTGATTTTTGGATGCTTTCCCCATAAAACTATTTTTTCTTGGTGGTTTCCTGACTGCCTAAGCTGTTCCCTTTGGCTCAAGGGTACAAGCACAGTAAAACCCGAGGACAAGAGCCTGGGTGTCAGAGCTCTCACCTGCATGAAGGTGCTCAGGCCCGACTTGGGCTGTGTCCGGGCCCTCGAGTATTCCTTCCAAAAGCATTTCTTGCTTCTTTGGCCTTGTGTTGCTCTCTGACTTGACCTGTGAGGCCTGGCACAGGCCAGTGCTCCTTTAAGAAGCTGTCCAGGACCCTGTGCCTGTCTCTGTCACTGAATGTGCTGGTCACAGCTCACATCCCTTTGCCCCCCAGAGGGTTGTGTCCTATTTATCACCAAATTTCCAATACTCCCACGCAGTAAATCTTCCATTGTTTGTCAAATGAATGAAGGACACCTTCCATCTGATCTCTTCCTCCCTCCTCCGGCTTTATACAGAACATACAAGTTCACCAGCCTCCAAGGCAAGACACGTGTGGCCAGTGCATTTATCAAGATGGGAAAGTGTGTCCCTGAGGCAGATAATCTAGAGCAAAGATTTATGTCAACTAGAAAACAACAAAGCAACTAAAGCCTTCCTGAGCATTCTCATAAAAAGTCATTTTACTGCAGGACAAAGGTTTATTAAAAGAGTTTATGACCCCCTTTGGCTTGTGAGTACTCCTTTCCCACAGGGAAGTGAGTCAAAAGGAGATTCATCCAGACCTTGGACACTAACATTTTTTTTTTGTTTTTCTTATTTTTTAAGATTTTATTTTTTTTTTAATTTATTATTAATTTTTGGGAGGGGTGAGAGAAAGGACTCAGGTGAGTGAGGGTCAGAGAGAGAGAGAGAGAGAGAAGCAGGACTCGAGCTCACAAACCATGAGATCATGTCCTGTGTTGAAGTTTAGATGCTTAACTGACTGAGCCACCCAGGCGCCCCTTAAGATTTTATTCTTAAGTAATCTCTACACCCAACCTGGGGCTCAAACTCCCGACCCTGAGACTGTGCCAGCCCGGTGCCCCCACACTGATATTTTAACATTCAGACTTTTGTAACATTTGGACACATGTGAAAAACGCAAAGTGGATGGCTCTTAAAAAGACAAGCATGCACCGCATGATGATAATTAAGTTGGGGACACTAGTTCAAGAAAACCTGGCGTTCGATCTCCCTGAGGTGTCAAGCACCGACTGCCCTCCTGTTCAGCCTCAGCCAGGAGCTCTATTACTTCAGTCTCCAGCTGAGGGCCTCAGTTGCTCTTCGCTTCAACGCTGGGTCACACCCACACCAAAACCCCGCCCTGGCTCTCCAGAACCAAGTGCTGTATTTTTTCTCAAACTCAGGAACTTGAAGGACACTGGAGGAAATAATGATCCTGTGAACAGGGTCACTGCGGTGTCCTGCTCTCTAGCCTCTGGGAGTCCCCAGGGTCACTGGGCATCCTGTCGTGCTCTGGTCACCTCCCTCGCATTCCTCTCAGCCGGTCCAAACTTTCATCCTCCTCCTGACCCTGACCCCACACATGCCTCCCTCACGCTGAGCAGATACAGAAACAGCGCAGGCCAATAACTCCCTCCACTGCCCCCCATAAATGGATCCACAACTACCCTTCCTCTTTCCAAACTCCCAGCGTGGCAGGCAGGGAAGGGCTCTGTGCCTCTGCCGGGCTCCTGATCCCAGTCCCCTTGGTACCTTGCCCTCTTCTTGTACCTTTGATCTCTATTTCCGGCCGGCCCTTTCCAAGGCATGTCATCGCCAGTTTTATGTGTTAAAACAACACACAGACCCACACCCCTCCCCACAAACACCAGGTACCGCTTGGCCAGCCACCTTCCTCTTTCCTCCCCTTCACAGCCATGTAGCTCTTCTAGAAAGAGCTGTTGACACTTTCTGAACACATTTTCTCACCTCTCAGCCCACTGTTCCTGCCCCAGTTCTCAAATGAAGAGTCTTCTGCCAAGGTCCCCGGTGGCACCTGGCAGATACCTCAGACCATAATTCCCTTGAGCTTCCGGCTGCAGCTGGTGCTCCTGACCACCCTTCCTTGCCATTGCCATCACGTGGCGTCCCCAGGCTCTGTTGCTGGCCCTGCTCTCTTCCCTTTGTACCATTGTTCACATCTTTGCTCTGAAGCCAGGACCCCCCAGCCTCCAACCTGCTGGCCTTTCCTGCTAAGCCACCGCCTCACAATGCACAACCTGTCATTCCCCAAAGGCACCCTTGTAGCTGGGATATCCTGGCAGTCCCTCTCCCTACCTATATCCTGCCTCTCCTAGAAAGTCTTCCCTGGGTGAGTTACGTGCACACAACAACTACCGTGTCACCGACTGCCCCTTAGCCTCCCCCCATGGTCTCTGGGAGGACTGGGCCATGCGTCACTCATCTTCATGTCTGCAATACCGACACTTCATGACAGCAGTGGTAAAGGGGCATGGAATAAATGAATGGCCAGCAAGTGCTTTCATTACCATCCGTGTTCCAAAGCTTCCAAGCTTTTCTCTGTCCACGCCTGTCTCCTGAGCTCCCAACAACATATCTGACTGCCTCCAGACCTCGTCTACTTGGCTGTCCCAGAGGCATCTCACACTGCTCCGAATTCGCACGTCAATATGAACATCCTCCTGTGACACCGAAAGCCACCTCGTTCCCATGCCAGGAACTTAGCAGTGAGCCTAGAGTCCAGCTTCTCTCTGTTCCTCCACATCCGGTGAGAAAATCCTCCTTTCTACCTCCTCAACCTCTCCCAAATCTCTCATTTTCTCTCGATCTAATCATTTGCAACTCACCTATCATTTCTCACCTGGTCCCTAGGGACCTTCTGAACTGCAGTCTATGCCCAGCTCCCGCCTGACAGCCTAGGAGAGTCCCCACCTGCCACAGGACCAAGGACACTCCCGAGCACGGCACACAGGGCCTTCCCGGGCCCTAGCTGCTACCTTCCCTTTCCACCTTCCACTCTGAGCAATTTGGAACCTTCCACAGCCTCACCATTCGGAGTTCCTGCCACAGCACTCCCACAGTACCCCCACTCACTGATCACAACACTGCCATGGTTTATACACATCCCTTCCTTCCAGCACGCCGTGCACGCTCAGGGTGGGGACTGCGTTCTGCACACCCCAAGGCAGCACAGATAGTCACCGGATGCTTAGAGGAAGGAACTTCCAGAGCCAGGTGTAACATTCCTGCTCACAAACTTCCTTGTGCCCATAGTCGCCTTGTCTGACACCATAAGGATCCTGAAATTAAAACCAATGGTAAAAACAGGTGCTTCTTTTTATGTAATTGCTCACAAGCTGCTGACAGTTCACGGTCGCTCCTTTCTCAGGCTCGAGGGACGGGGCTGGAGCGGTCTTCGTGGCAGTGATGCAAACGGTGAAAAATCACTTGAATTCATCTCGTTCAAATTTTGTGGTGGGACAAAGGCCTGCATCAGATGTCT